TGAAGGTAAGGGTTTCGTATTGCAATATACATGTATTCTGAACGGCTATATTAAACTTTGTTCTCCCAACAGGAATGGATCCATTTCGTTGACTGGTTTCTTCAATCTGAATTTGGGTTTTATTCTTGGTTCTCTTTGCATTGAAGATTGTATGTGGCCAATAAAAAATAAAAAAATAAAAATGTGTTTCCAAACCACTTAATTGAAATTCTCAAATTATTGAGTTTAACTTTTATTTTGTGTGAAATGGTTTAAACTAAGCTGTATTACTGAATCTTGATGACCTTGTCTTCTTTCTGGGAACATTTCCAGGTCTATTCAATGTCATGAACTTTTTTCCTGTGTCAATTTCCCAGAAATATTGATCACATATTATCTTTAAAAGCAATATGATTACATTACACTTTTTGTTCAAATTTCCAATCAATAACTCTTCACAGTTAATGCTTATCATGTAAGTATTTGTATTCTGTATTCTTCAAGCAGGTCAAGGCTAAACTCAGTGATTTTCCAAATAATATTATGACTGAACAATGAAGAGAAGGGATTCAAAGCTTTTCAGCACTATACTCAATTGGCCCTTTCTGGGATCCCCCTTAAAGCCATATTCCTACTTTTTCCAGGCACATTTAATATCTTGAACGTTATAACTTGAATATGTCCATAGCCAAATTTGCTCAAATTAAAAAATCATACTCTTAAAAAAACTTGGCACTACGATACACTCTGTGGCGGCGCCAGGGTATGGCTGGGGTAGGCTATACAGCCATACCAAGAAATGGCTTAAAGTGGACCTATCATGCTATATTTGAGAAATATGTTGTAGGGCCATACCTACACAAAAAAGTTTATTTTTTTCAAAATACCAAACGGATCACTCAATCTAGCCATCCGTCTACTGCTCATACCCCTCTTTTGCAGCCCTGTTAGAGAAACGTGGATCTTGGATCCTTAGCTTGAAAAAAAAAGAGGAGGCGGTGCTAATGCCTGATCAGAATTCTACCGGAAATAAAGTTAAATTCGGTTGCGATAAAACGACATCCTGTTTAAACCACGTCAAGGATTATTTCTGAAATAGTATGGAGCTCAAATGCTTTTTCTCTTGCAGGTTTATCACAAGGTCAGTTCCTTTTTTTATTTCCTGCTTTTTAAACATGTGCTCTCCAGTACAGGTTAGCTCTGAGTGTTAGCGAGCCTTGCTAATGTAAACAAAGACGAGATTACGGCCAAAACGTCAGGCATTGTTTCTGATAGCAACTTTCTGTGGGTCCGCTGCCGACTTGACAGTTCGGATATAATCGGTATCCGCTCGTTGTACACCCGTTTTTAAAAGATTTGGGTACGGAGGAAAAGAGAGGGTTTTAGTTTCTGACGCTGCGTGAGTTCCCCGACGCACCGGGGACACATGTTTATGTATAAAAGACATCACAAAGTGCATTTTGCTTGATAGGTCCCCTTTAAATAAGCTAAATGTTGAACATGGCTTGAGAAAATATATACGGGTCGTGTCCCCAACACACAACTGATCCTGCTGTAACAAGTGCACGTTACTGATGCAATATGGTTGAGACTATTCGGGCTTATGCTAGAAGAGGGGTGCAAGGAATAGTCTGAGTAGTGGGGGAGTTTTATACACTAAAGGTGTGGAAATTCTCTGGCGTTATAATATCAGCGTGGCCGCGGTCAGATCAAAATGCCTCCGAATGCAATTTGAATAGACCTACAGCCAATCAGAGCAACGAAACGTTGGGTCTGCGTCATGCATGACTGATTGAGATAAATCGGAACCGCCGTTCGGTATCACCATTGGATCTTCAACGTGTACTATCATACGTCATGTTCACAGTGATCCCTTTTTATTTACTACAAGACAAATGTGCCGTTTTATTTCATACAGTTCCATTTTCATCAGCGTGGCGTGGGGAGAAAATTACGTCATAATACGTCCTTTCTTTTGGGTTAGGGGTGTGGTTGTCAATGCAATAACGTAACCAGATGAGTGATTACAGCACCCGGTATCATTTTACACACATTTGTATCATACAGATGCAGGACTTACACACGCCTCTTATCTAACCGACAGGTCCGCACGCACTCTCCAGCCCAAACTCTAATAAGCATTAATTCACAAACTAAATCGGGAGACCTTTAACGTTTTACGTCCAATTTGCTCATTTTTTCCTTTGGGCATCGGCCTGTCATCAGATTTTATTTTTAGTTGCTGCTGTAGCGGAAGTTTAGTACAATTATTTTTTGATGAAATACTCCAACTCTCCACCCTCCATAATTGCATTTGCTTGCTACTTTCTAACGACGGCGAGAGTGGTGCAGTGGCGCTATCTATCTTCTATCGATTAGATTTATGATTCGAAAATTATAAAAGTAGGGTAGACATGTGGATATTATCACACTGAACAAGACGTGCATTTATCTAACAGGTTCGTTTTCCACTGACCTTATTTCGAGCTATTTTCCAAAATCCTATGTAGCCTATGCTTTTTTGTCGAGGGAAACCGAGCGCAGCTTACTTCCGGGTTTTAGGAAGCGTCACTGCCACACTAAGTTGATGCGATTTGATTGGATTGTGAGGCAAGGGAAGCCAGCCACCTCTGGCTTCCCTTGCCATGGCCCTGACCAGAGCCATATAATAGAAGAGTTACGACAACGGAAGTCCAAAAACGGTTATCGTCACGTGGTTCATGTAGCCTCTGGCTTCCCTTGGCATGGCCCTGACTAATCACAGGTTGGCAGGGGCATGACGTGAGCCTTGTCTGATTGGTCAATCCCTCCATTTTTTTTCACCAAGGGAAGCCAATTTCGGCTGGCCTCCTCTCACAACAGAGAGTGCAATCTCCTGTTTCACCATAACATGTAGAGGGGCGCTGTTTCACTCTTTGTAAAATACTCAATGAGAATGGGGGAGAGACGGGCCGGCAGCAACACACAACAAAGAATTTCCAAAACTAAACAAAGTGTTTTTATTTATTTATTAAAATTATAACTACAATCCAAAAAAACAGGGGAAGCCTGGCTTCCCTTGGCCTCCAGGAGAAAACGCCACTGATTTTCATTGACACATAATCTAAACCTCACGCGTGGCGTTTCACTGTCAAGGGGGGCGATATAGCGTGTATGTAATTACATTGCAAATACTGACTTGAGCCCCACCACTGTTGGCTTAGCCCTACCATAGTTTACCCAACAAAAATACTCTGGAGCCGCCACTGTTACTGACCAATTTATTTGAATACCCTCACACTCATGAAATTATTTAATACTCAACAGAATTCTACAAAGTAATCAGCTAACACAGAAACAATGGTCTTCTTTAGTATTCACCAGACAACCTGATCTCACCAGAATGCGTGACTCCACCACGACTCCTTAACACCACTTTGCGTTGTGGAGTCACTAACTTCGTTACATTTACGTGTCTGCGCCACGCAAACAACCCCGATGTAAAGTGAATGAGGCTCCTGTGCTGTGGTGCACACGCATTTCTACAACGTCCTGCAGTGAGCTAAAACGTTTTTTAAATCTACTTTATAGCTTGTAGTAACTCACGGGAGGCTTCTTTTATTTTATTTGTATTCATAATAATTTGTATTTTTCGTCAGAAAATTATTGCATTATTTATCAATTTCTGTTCTCCAAAAACAGTGCATTGTGTGTAATACAACTGTGATTTTTATTAAATTAGTTAGTTTTTAAGGAAGGCCAGAGCTTCAGCTGTGTCAAATAGATTATTCCCTTTAGTTTACGTTATTTAAAAGACAATTATATTCCTATTTGATCAATAAAGGGGTATTGTAGGCCAATAATATTACCCCACTGGCTACTGACTGTATTTGAAATGCTTTTGTTTAATAGTAGTAATAATAATCATTTTTATTATAACAACAATAAACCAGAAGAAGATTCCGTCGTTACCACGGCAACGTTATGTAGCCACGTTACCCACAATCACCTCACTTTCATTAATTTCATCTGACAACGGACTACAGTAAGTATCTAAAATCAAGGGGAGTTTATTTCTTTAAAACACGAAATAATATTGCTTTTATTTATTCCACTGTAGCACAGTCTCTATAGCGTTTCATTCCTGGATATTAGTTTGAGTTTTGTAGTGTGTTTAGCTTTTACAATAGGCCAACTAGTGGCTACGTTCAGCTAGCCTCCGGCCTTCCGGTCAACGTTTTTAGCTGGATAGCATTTATAGTTTATACAGCTAAATGACATTACTGTCACCGGCACAGTTGGATAGTGGAGGTGCGTGCTAGAAAGATGTGTTTAAATGCATGTATTTGCACATGTGTTGTAAAGACAACACAGTATAAATGCATAATGTATGCCAGAGTATTGCTCAGATTAATTATTATTGCATATAGAGTAATGTACAGATGAATTATTATTGCATAGAGTATTACACAGATGTTACTGTTATTCTAAATAATCCTAATCATGTTTTTATTTGTCCTGTTTTACAGCTTCATTACAACACTTAATATCACCAACACACACATATCCACACACACACACACACACACACACACACACACACATATATATATATAAAACCAACAGCACTTTTAAGAGCCACTCTCTCTCTCACTGTCTCTCTTTCTATCACTTTCTCTTGTAATCACTCTCTCACTTTCTCTTTTAATCACTCTCCTGTCTTTCTCTCACTCTTCATTTTGTGTATTGTTTGTATTATTATTTGTATGCCATATCCCTCAACCCTGAAGTGAGGGTCTTTGAGGATCCCAATGAGGCCACGGTGCACATGGCATCATTGATTAGTGATTACAAGTCTGTAATATAATCATTGCCATTGCTTTTTATTGATGTAATGTAAAGGGACAGTTAGTCCTTTTTATGCAACCGTTACATAATTGCTCAAATATAAGTGCTGCTGTCTTATGTTGTATTACAACTTTGTTGTTGATCTCAACCTCTGAAAAAATATAGACTGCCATGGCCACGGAACCCCCTGCCATCCCTCCAGAAAAGAAAAGAAAAAGCAGACCTCTTTCTAATCCAGTGGTCACACGCAGACGTGAGAGACAACGGGAAACACAACGCCCTGCATCAGGTTAGTTCTTTACTATATCATGATTTCTAAGTCTAAGAATAAAGATAATTCATAACAAAGTTATTTTGGTGTACACAGTATGAAATTATGTAATTTAAAGATACCTCTTGACAAATCTGTTGCAACGTTTAAAACATTTTCAAATTAAATCAAGATATTTTAAGAGCCCGTGATGATAATCCGTGCTTGTGTTGTATTTTTTTAAATGTGTACCTCGATTTGGATAAAAGTATGCCAAATGTAAATTGTCATTGTGATGCTGTGGTAATATGTTCTTAGTTTCATTACCTACAGTCCTTACAGAGCATTTTCATATTACAATGAATTGGTGTAATTTTAGATTGATTGAAGGGTTAAGCAAAAATGAAGTCTCTGCAGCTTCACAAGACAGAAGAGACGATCCTGTGCATGAGGAAGGCCTTCAGCTAGAACATCAAGAGTTTGGTAGTCTTGGTGAGTATATTGATTATAACAGCAGTTGACTGGCACTACAGTTTTTCCCAATGTTTCCATTTTTATACTCATCTAGTTAATCATAATAAAGTATTGAGTATTGACTGTTTCATGACAAGTGAATGCATATTTGGTATAAGTATCACTTGCTAATATTGCTTTGGATGCATATGATGATTCATAGCATGTTGCTATTATTAGTCCGCATATATTTTTCCAAATCAAAAGTGGTTCAGTATACTAACTTAATATCCATCATACCAGTTTTAGGGTGGCGGCTTAACAGCTGTTTTATTTTTTAGAAACTCATCTCCAAGAGTTAAGGGACACCCTAACTGCAGTCCAGGTTCCGGAGGCAACAGACGGAACGGTTTCTCTGCCTGGGCACAAAGGCAGCTTCTCACAGATGTGAGAATGAAAACTGCTAGGCCAATGCTTTTTAATGCAAAACTCTCAGCTGAGAGAATAGCCATTCAGAAGTGCCACAGATGCTGTGCAGAAGAAGCGGCTATTAGGTGCCTGGACTGTGTTCCACTGGACATGGAGTTCCTCTGTGCAACCTGTGACATGGAGGCCCACAAGAGGAATATCTTCCATGACAGAGAGGCTGTGTTCAATGGATTTCTGGAGCCCATTCCCCGACAACTGCTGTGGTGGTGGATGAAAATGGCCAGTCTCAGTTTTGTGAACAAAGTATGTAAAGGTTAACATTACATTACAATGTCCCATTATAATTGGTTTTGACTAGGGCTGCAAGGTATGTGGAAATTATGCAACATTTTATTGAATATCTTGATAATCTGGAGAATTAAGGAAAAACTGTAAATACACCCTTCCTAATTTATTTTCTATATTGCAGTATGTCAACTGCCTGTTCCTACTCCAAGGTCAATCTGTAAATGCTCTGATGACGTCACAGTTACTCCTTGGAAGCATATTTCTGTGGTCACCATCAAGGGTATGTTGTTCTGAAAGCCCTTCTTTTTGTACAAGTAGTATTGTACGGCAGAGTTTTACCACTTTGTGCAATGCAAAGATTTGTATCACCTGGTCAACATTTTCAGACAACACCCAAATGCCATGTCAAATAGCTAATATATCATATACTGTATGCACATCTATGCAGGGCCGCCCCTGGCCAACTTGGGGCCCCAAGCGACATTGTGAGATGAGGCCCCCCCCCCCAACCGACAGGAGTGAACTTTTTTTTTTTGGAAACAAAGTAGGCTACTTTGCAAATATAATTCCTGTTTATTATTATTATCAACGGTTACTTTTTTATACAGTGAGGTAAATGGTAAATGTGCATGTATGTCGTTCAGTATGGGTTTACAGGTGAATTTTGCATTTCCTGCCAAATACTAGCCTCAAAAAGATAAAAACATAATTAATGCAAATAAACTACTTCTACTAATAATAATAATCATAATCAATTCAATAATAAAAATACTATATTGTTTTATTATAATATAGTTGTATAGTCAAGACAAAACATGCTTATGACATGCTCAAAAACTGATATTTCTTAAATCTGTATTCTAGTTCCCTCTGTCAGCAATGTATCAACAACTACACACATTTCTATCAGTGTTTCTCTGTGTTGTGGTTGACATGATGATGACTGTTAGGAGTTAAGGGGAGAGGCTGAGCATCACCATTAAATGTGCAAATTGACATAAAAATGAATAAAAGGGGAAAAAATGCTCCATGTTTTTTAGGCTGTAAACTTTAACTGTTATGTAAGCCAACTAGACAGACAGTGTATCTCTCTTCCTCCTGTATATTAGCAGATAAAAGGCATCACATACTTGAATGAATGGTAAATAAAGAATGCTGGAAATAACTGCATCTCCATTAGCCTATATGCTCTGCAGAGACTGCCTTCTTCATGTCGTGAATTGCAGCTGATGTTTTAAGATGGCAATTGGCAATTTGACTTATACAACATTCGTAAGTTGTACATTTGACTCATACAATAACCCACCTTCGAGTGATGCGCTAGTTTCTTCATGTTTTGTTTTTTGCGCCGGACTGAAACTGTCTTTTCACCGACATCTCTTCACCTGCACTAGTGGCCGTATCAAAGCCGTGATTGGTCAGATGTCGATTAATTGCAACGGTGTCGGGTTACAGACGTGCTCCTCTTGTCACCTCTCACTCTCGCGGGGGGTGCGCAGAGAACTGAGCGGAGAACTGCGCACAGCAGCTGAGGCCCTCTGGGCGGGGCCCCCTGCGCAAGGCGGGGCCCCATGCAGCCTGCGTGATTGGCCTGTAGGGAGGGGCGGCCCTGATGACGTGCAAGCATAGTCATAGTACCCTTGAATGAGTGCTCCTGCCAGAGTTTTCAGGGTGTTTTTGTTTACCAGAGAGGAGATCCGGTATAGGAATCTGGTTCTTTGATTGACTTTTATTACATTGGATGCCATTTTGTCACAGGAGAGGTTTGCCTCAAGAATAGATCCTAGGTATGTAATGTCCTTCTTACTTGTGACAATAATGTCGCCCACTGCAACTGAGAAGTCGTCGGATTTGCTGAGATTATGTTTCGAACCGAAGAGAATGGACTCTGTTTTATCCAGGTGTAATGATAATGTATTATCGGCGAGCCAGGTGCAGATTCTGCCGAGCTCGGAGCTGAGGGTTTTTTCAACCTGCAACCTGTTCCTGTCAGAGACCAGCAGGGCTGAGTCGTCCGCGAACAGGAACAAGTTGCAGTCACATGCTGATGACATGACATTTACATAAATTAGGAACAGTAACGGACCTAATATGCTTCCTTGTGGAACACCACAGCTCACTGGCAGGGGGGGGGACAGAGTACTGTTTACCTCCACCATCTGTTCTCTCCCCTCCAGGTAGGATTGCATCCAGCTCACCGATAGTTTATCAAAACCAATTGCTTTTAGCTTGTCAATCAGAATGGGGTGATTGACAGTGTCGAAAGCCTTTTGTAGGTCCAGCATCACCATGCCGCAGTATTTGCCCTCGTCCACCTCTTGTTTGATGTGGTCGCTCAAATAAAGAAGGCATGTGTCAGTGGAGTGGGATGTTCTAAAGCCAGATTGAAATTCATAGATTAGTTTCTTTTCCGCGAGGTACTTTTCGACCTGTTCATATACTATTTTTTCCATGACTTTCGAGATGGAGGTAAGTATAGAAACAGGGCGGTAGTTGCCTGGGTCCAATTTGCTGCCCTTTTTGTGCAGGGGGGTTACTCTTGCAATTTTGAAGTCTTTGGGTACTTTTCCCTGTTTTATGGAGAGGTTAATTATGTGAGCTATGACTGGTGAGATGGCGGTTGCTGTCTCTGAGGAATTTGGAGGGGATATTGTCGTGGCCAGTGGCCTTGTTAGGTTGGAGGGCGCTCAGTTTAATGAGTACCTCTGCTGTTGTTACCCTTGCTAGACTGAAATCATCTTTGCGTACCCCTAGGTTTTTGTAGTAGGTCATGATGTGATCTACTCCAAAAAGCCCTGAGTGGGAGGGTAATTTATTTACAAGAGTTGTGGCTATGTTTGTGAAAAAAATTTTCAAGTACTTGGCCACATCCAGTTTGTCTGTGATGAGCCTGTTATCTGTCTTTATGTTTAAGTTCGAAAATCTCGTTTTGAGTTTTTTACTGCAGCCAAGCTGGTTATTGAGTAATTTCCAAAGTTCACGGGGTTTATTTTTGTTTTCCTCAGTTTTGACATTGATGAAATTCTTTTTGGCAGTTTTGATCATGGAGCTTACGTCATTTCTTAGTCTGTTTCTTTCAATTTTTAGTTTAGTCACGTGGGCCTGGAGTTCACTGCTCGTGCTTTTGGAAAGCATTGACTGACTTTTATGAAACTCAGAGCATTTTTTGTCTCTGGTTTTCATGGCGGTCAGTATGCCGGAGTGCATCCACGGCTCAGCGCGATTTTTTACCCTGATTGTTCTTAGGAGGGCCAAATCATTGAGTATTGCAGAGAATTTGTTTTTGAAACCAAGCCATGTTTCTTCAACTTGTGTACCACTGAGCTCATCTGACCAGTCCAGGCTGTCCAGTTCTAGGTTAAAGGCCTCGCTAGCTAACAGCCTAACAGCCGTTGTGTATTTTATTATGTGAAGCACTAAATGGTTTTAGAAAAATATGGACTCTTGGTTTGTAGATATCTACTAAACTAAAGCAAATACAGAGAGTAGGCCTGTTATACTGAGTGATATATAGTATACACACTGCTCTGCTTTCTGCACGGACCTCACAGCTGTTCTCTCTGTAAACATCGCGTGGCGATGAGAGCAGTTAATAAAATAATATCCAGGGGATGCATGCAGAGCTGTCATTGGCTGAGATAAGTCCGGCCGTGCGTCACGTCTCTTTGAAACATCTCTGTTGCCGGAAATGCATCCACGAAGGAGCCGTGGAGGACCGTGGAGGACCCATCAGTGTATCCTCGGTTATAGCTCCTCCAGAGAGCCTCCTCGATGCTCGGTCCTCGAAGTGCATTTAGAGAAATGAGATGTCCTTCAACATGGCGCGCTGAAATTCATTTCCGGGTCACTACCGGAGGACCGAGGAGTCGAGGAGGGGGATTTGATGAAATGAGAAAGGGCCTCGGTGTCTCCTGGGTAGTTTTCATGAACATATCGGACTTATCTTATGGATTGCAGTGCATTATACTTGTGATGTGTAGTTCATACTTTATTCCAACTTTAAATATTTTAATACCTGAACACACTGCTGCTGTAAAATAATTTCCCAATTTGGGATTGATTAAGTGTCTGTCTATTTATTTTATAGATTAAAAAAACACATCTATGTATTTTCAAGATAAAGGTGATACACAATATAAACTGTATACTATTATTTTTCAAAGACATGTTATATTTCAAAAGCATATATTGCTATGTTTAGGACAAACAATTAAAGACTGCTTTAATTTAACAAATTCTACAATATAAAAGTGGCAGATTTGCTTTATGAAACAGAGCAGACCTACAGTATAGTGAAAACCACCCTTGAATGATGGGATCGGAGACTAAAAGCTTTAGGAATCCAAACTATAACATATAATAAGTACCCTGTATCAAGATTGATGCAAAACAAGTTAAATTTGACCTTTTTAGAGAGATTTAGAAGAAAAACCCACTTCTGGGGTCATTTGGGTGGATTTGCCATATCTCTGGCCCCCCTTGGTCGATTTTGATGATTGACATCTTTTTTTAACCGTTAGAGCCAATAGAATCGAGGGAAAGTTCCTAAAATCCATCTAAACATTACCCATTGGTGAATGAGTGCTGCGCAGCCAGAATGCCCTGGAACCGGAAGCTGCAATACACTCTGGTGGCTATCATTAGCAGCTAATATTAATTCTACGATTTTTACATAAAAATGGAATTATGGATTATTATGCTCCGTGATGTGTTTGCTTCCCCTGTCGCGAGTTCTGATCACTCAGGGATGATACCAATACCTATATAATCTGTGGAATCTCAGCTTTAATCGGATATCTTGTATGTGCAGTTACGATAAGTAATAAGGGTATTTTTACCTTGAGTTCTGTGCTAAGTGCGTTAGAATGTTTTCGCTCAGGGCTAATTTAGATGCTTCTTGTGAGACTTGTGTTTTGTTTCGGTAAAAATGCTTCATATCTTCAGTTAGCTGAGTTTCTACGTTAAGTGAGTGTGACATATTAATAGATTTTAAAATATTAAGAAGCCCTGAGACACAGTTTTGTGAAAAAACTACCCGCCAGACCCGGATTAGGGGCCTCTCGGGTTTACAGGTTAACACAATAAAGAAACAGACCGTATAGTACAGCACAAACAACACAAATGATCAATACTTTTCACTTGTAGTATTATAATGATTTAAATGCTGGTTCTTCTGGGGGTGTTTTATCCACCCTTAGCTACCGCAGCTGCACTGTACAATCGCTGGAGGACTGGGCTGTCACTCAAAAACTGAGTAGCCAATGGGGACGCACCACTGAAAGTCCCGCCCACCTGGGAGGTTTGTGTCAGAATCGAAATCAAAAAATGAGGGAGCGCAAAAGAGAAAGCTGCAGCGAGAGCAAAAGTGTGATCATTGAGAAAGAAGAAAGAAGAACTGCAAACAAAAACCTATGTTAAAACAAAGAAAAAAAACTTATAGTTTACATGATTACACACATTTGTTTGCATTTTATAGTTTCATTTTTGAAATTAATTTTATTTTGCTTGACTCAGTTTTTTTTCTCTTAAACTCTTAGTTTTGCTTTATTCTGAGAAAGTGTTTATTTGTATGATACAAAACTAATCCCATATGGGTGTTATCAAATCAAAATAAATAAAAACATTTTTAATAGATCGAGCAGGATATGTTTTCAGGATAAATATGACGTGAGGTGAGTCAATATTTATGAGGTGAAAGCGAAAGAAAACAAGTTTAGGATGATTCTGAAATGTTTTATATATTTGTTGGAACATTTCCAGAGTGATCCATGACGGCACACAGCACGGTGTCACTCACAATGACGGTGAACGGCTCTGACTAAAAAGAGCCTTCTTAAAAACACAGAATATGACAAAACACCAACAATCAACACTAAATCTGAGCCAGTTCCAATCCCATTTTTTTAATAACATACTGTACATAAAATAAAAAGGTTTATTTTCTCATACATCTGTGCAAAGATCCCCAAATTCCCTCGAACACCACCACCGACAAAGTGCATAACTGGAAGAACACTGTATGCTATGCATATCTTCAACACTCACATACTGGAGGTTTGACTAAAGCACAGGACAGAAGGAGTCATTATATGACAACATCCAATGGAATTAGCTTAACGTAACACATGACACCTTACAAACATCATCACACACTGAGTAAAATGTACAACTTGCAACAAACAGATATGCATGCAACATATGCATTTATATCATCATATTATCTTCATACAATACAAGAGTAATCTAATGACCATATATATTATATTCACAATCAATATATTACATTTCTGTTTCTGGATAATTGACTGTACCATACCTGTGGTTTTGCAGGATGCAACATGCTGCATATACTTTACATGAAACAAAGCTAAGTTCTGATCCATCACAATTTGTTTAGGAATGATTTGTTTGTTGGTGCATTCAAGGACAATGCGACATTTGAGAATCAGGTCGTGACAATCTCTGCTCACAAAGGTAATTTGGTTGGAGAATAAAACCTAGAAGAAGCAGATCAGCAGATATTGTTGTTGTGAAAATAGTTTCTTCGACTTCAAATGTTGTTCTTCCACATTCAAGGAGGCTGGCGTTTCCCAAAGCACCTGAACACACCATTGAGACAATAACAAATATGATATGTGAGGAATCTTAAATATGTATAAGGATTATTTGATGTCAAACTTAACACTCTTCCGGCGCAGACTGAAAACTCATCTCTTTCGACTCCACTTCGAGCGATAGAACTATTAACAAAGCACTTATATACTAATAAAGGACTGGCTTACCTAAAGCCAGTTGAGTAGCACTTGAAATGTTTTGGCTCTATGAAACCTGATGTACTTTATGATTCTGTTTTCTTCAAGGTTGTATCTTGTTGGTCGAATGCACTTATTGTAAGTCGCTTTGGATAAAAGCGTCAGCTAAATGCAATGTAATGTAATGTAACACAAGCTGATCCCTGACAGAAATAAACAAATCCATTTATATTTTATTTTGGATTTGTTTTAATTTGTTTTATAAAAGTTTTAATAATAGGACTATTTTTGCTTGTTTTCCGCAATGTATACCTCTTACTGTGTTTATGTATGCACCATTACGCCAGAGCAAATTCCTACTTGGTGATTAACCCGATTCTGATTCTTTAAAAAAAATATATATATTATATTTTATTGCATTCTATTTCAGTGTAAATGACTGCTTTATTTTATTTTATATTTTACCATATTTGTATTATTCTTTTGTAATGTTATTATAGTGTTTTTAAAATAGTTTGCTGTCTGTGTTTTCTTTTGTTTTTTTTACTTATGTATGCAGCACGACGCCAAGTTAAATTCCTCGTACGTGTTAACCTACCTGGTCAAACCTGATTCTGATTCTGGTTCTGAAGTGATCTCAGGTAACATAAAACATACACAACATGTATTTTCGAGGCTGAAACTCCTGCAAAACCACAAATATAGCACTTTAACGACAGCATGAAGGCATCACTCGCCTAATGCATGGAAGTGACACACAAACGTGCATGTAAAAAAATGAAAAAGTCCACCATAAAGTCCACAGTATTGGGTGTTGGGGGGGGGGGGGGGGGGTCCGTGCTCTAGCCCAGGCCCTGGTCCTGGCCCTCTGTGTGCCGGCGGCTGGTGCGTTTGCGCTGCTGCTGCCGGGGGCTTAGCTGTTCCCAGTACGACTGGCAGTACTGGTTTATCAGTCTGATCTCCGGGGGGAACGGCGTGGAGGCGAGGGACGACTGAGACGCCCCCCCCGCCCCCGCCTGGCGAGTTTTGGGCTGCTCGTCCTCGTCCTGAGCGGTGAGCGCCAGCACGATGTCCCGGTCCAGGATGCGCAGCGCCACGCGGGCCACCGTGTGTTTGAAGTTGTTCTCCGTGGCCAGGCAGTGGTACAGCCCCGCGTCTGATTGGTTCAGAAACTTCAGAAGGATGCCGTGGTTGGTCTTCAGGACTCCTCCCACACGGTTGAGCTGCAGAAAAAGAAAATCAAAGTTAGATTAGATTCCTTTATTGTCACTACAGAGAGTACAGCGAGATTCAAAGCACTCCCGATGGTGCAATCCAGAGAGGGCAAAAGTACACACATCCTTTGCTCAAGTAGAAGTACAGATACTCGTGTTTAAAAATACTCTGGTAAAAGTTGAAGTACTGACTAAACTTCTTTACTCAAGTCAAAGTAAAGAGGCTTTGAAATGTACTTCAGTAAAAAGTACCGATAACGAGCAGCTGTTTTAAAGAGTACCTGACCTCCCTTTATATTAAGAGAACAATAATGTCATTGTTAGCTAATGAATGTTTCCATGCTGAACAACGGCAACATGACAACGTTTCTATTGGTCCCTCTTCTTTAGAGAAGACCAGGAAATGATGGATACACGGATCGTGTTCAAATCAATAGGCACGCAATGACTAAAGAATAATGATCACGCACCAAACACACATTCAGACTAAAGGAACCAGCTGTTTGTAAAATGAGAGAAGTAGAAAGTTCAGGTATTTGTGTTCAACATGTAAGAAGTAGAAAGTACAGGTATTTGAGTTCAACATGTGAGAAGTAGAAAGTACAGGTATTTGTGTTCAACATGTAAGAAGTAGAAAGTACAGGTATTTGAGTTCAACATGTAAGAAGTAGAAAGTACAGGTATTTGGGTTCAACATGTGAGAAGTAGAAAGTACAGGTATTTGAGTTCAACATGTAAGAAGTAGAAAGTACAGGTATTTGAGTTCAACATGTAAGAAGTAGAAAGTACATGTATTTGAGTTCAACATGTAAGAAGTAGAAAGTACAGGTATTTGAGTTCAACATGTAAGAAGTAGAAAGTACAGGTATTTGGGTTCAACATGTAAGAAGTAGAAAGTACAGGTATTTGAGTTCAACATGTGAGAAGTAGAAAGTACAGGTATTTGGGTTCAACATGTAAGAAGTAGAAAGTACAGGTATTTGAGTTCAACATGTAAGAAGTAGAAAGTTCAGGTATTTGAGTTCAACATGTAAGAAGTAGAAAGTACAGGTATTTGTGTTCAACATGTAAGAAGTAGAAAGTTCAGGTATTTGAGTTCAACATGTAAGAAGTAGAAAGTACAGGTATTTGAGTTCAACATGTGAGAAGTAGAAAGTACAGGTATTTGTGTTCAACATGTAAGAAGTAGAAAGTACAGGTATTTGTGTTCAACATGTAAGAAGTAGAAAGTACAGGTATTTGTGTTCAACATGTAAGAAGTAGAAAGTACAGGTATTTGTGTTCAACGTGTAAGAAGTAGAAAGTACAGGTATTTGTCTTCAACATGTGAGAAGTCAAAGTAAAAAGTCATCAGAAAAATAAGTAGTGAAGTAAAGTACTGATAACAGAAAAATGTACTTAAGTACAGTAATGAAGTATTTGTACTCCACTACTTCCCAGCTCTGGCTATGAGTGTAGTGTAGTAGTAAACAGTAGAAATTAAACTTATTATTTCCTCACCACTTTCCTCCTCCCCTCCCTCTGGAACAGCCACTTGACCGAGGCCTGAGGAGAGCGAGGCTGGCACTCCAGGAAGGTGCTGCTGCCCTCCACCCCGAACTGCACCGTCTCCCTCAGACGCTTCTCCACTGCCACACACACACACACACACACACACACACACACACACACACACACACACACACACACACACACACCACACACACACACACACACACACACACACACACACACACACACACACACACACCCACACACACACACACACACACACACACACACACCCACACACACACACACACACACACACACACACACACACACACACACACACACACACACACACACACACACACACACCACACACACACACACACACACACACACACACACACACACACACACACACACACACACACACACACACACACACACAGAAACATTTAATTGCCTTGTCGTTGAACTGTGCTATATAAGTAAACTTGCCAAACACACACTCTGAAAGTTAAAGAGAACAGAAGAATTGCCCCACCTTTGGCATTGAAGCCCCTGCACTGCCTCAGAGGGTCTCCATGTTTAACGTCCTGTCTTCTGCTCCTCCTGAAAACAAGAAATGAAGAGTTAAGTTGACACTATAGGTCTGGACGATTAAATATCAAACATCATAATATTTTTAACTATATATCTTGATATGGATTTCAACCACATTGTAGTGTTGACTGTTGGGGGGTAAGTGAGAAGATAATACAACGGCTAGAACTGGTATATTCAAAAGTACATCACGGCGCAATTCGATAGAATACGATACGACAGAATATAAGACTAGGAAAAAATATAATCTGATACTATAAATCGGGAAAATATGATACAATACGATACAATGCAATATGATCAGATACAATATGACACGATATGATATGATACAATACGATAAGGTCCCATGTAATACGATGAAATACGATGCGATACGATTCAATACGATACTTTACGAGACGGTACCGTACAATATGATATTGGTACGATACGATTCAATATGATACGATGTGATCAATACTGTCAACTGAGGTTGTTTTAAATGTGCTATATAAATAAAGATTGAGATTGAATACGATACAATGCAAAACCATACAATATGATACACAATGACACATTATGATACGAAATAATTCGATATGATACGATACTATAATATACAATACGTGGGGTTTCGATACGATATGATATAATACGATACCATACTATATGATATGATATTGATACGGTAACATTCTATAATACTTTTTTTGTCAGATAACATTTTACATTTTCGCAACATTAACAAGGACAATATATTAAGTCAAGAAACAACGCATTTAACATTTAATTTCAATCCCTCAAGAAAATATGTTCAAGACCCAATAAGGGACATTTTATCTGGGATTAAACTGTCAAAAACAAGCGTCTTTGGGTTTCTAGAAAAGCGCTATATAAGTATCATGTATTATTATTTAATTTGAGTATTGACGGGTGCAGTAAAGCATGCTTCAGTGTGACCCCTGACCTCTTGGTGGAGGGGGTGAAGGCGGAGCAGCTCTCCCCGTCCCAGGCGCAGTAAGGGTCTCGGGCGAGGCAGCAGTCTGAGCACGCCCGGCCGTAAACCCCACAGCGGTGCAGAGACACCTGGGTCAGCCCCGCGTCCGACGACACGTACAGCTGTTGCTGTTGGGAGGCAAGAAAAACAGATTAAAGGTCCCCTATTATACTGTTTTTTATCAATATATCACAGGTCTCAGATATATACAGAACCTGTCTCTGATTGGCTGAAACACCAAACAGATCATTGCAGCATTACCCATAATCCCCTCTGTTTCAGCCCTGTTTCCAAAGTGCTGATTCTCTAGCCTCATCCCAATACCCCTCCTCGACTCCTCCTTTCCCTCACTCGCTTCCCTTCCTTGCGTCTTAGCTCCGCCTCCGTAAGATGCGAGCGAGAGACACGAGGAGGTGACGCGAGGACAGAGGAGTCCTCAGGTATTAATTGGGATGTCCTCGTTCACTCAAACGTCACTCTTAAACGACGTCTGTTAATGATGACATGTGCACAGCTGTATCCCCTCTCATCGGGCTTAACTAAAGAACCCCTTAGAACCGGCCCATTTGTTGTTAAATATTTATTTTAATGAATGAATCTTTCTCTTGTTAGTCAAGGAATTCAATGTATGATGGTTGGTCCTGCTTTTGTGTTCCGTTTTGGTGTAAAATGTAGCCTACGTTTAAATAAAAATATAATTATAGTAATGTGAAAGCCTTTTAGAAATGAATTACACATAATAATTCCCACGGAGCTGTGAGCACTTATACATTTATGTGACGCTTTTCCACTCAGTTGTCGGTTTTTCTCTGTTGAAATCGACCAACTGTGAAGGTGGGGGCGGGGCTTTTATACGCGAGTAGTGAAAACACTTCCGCGTAGTCTGCTCGCGTGTATCCTCCCTTTCGTCTCCTCCCTTTCGTCTCCTCCCTTTCGTCTCCTCCCTTTCGTCTCCTCCCTTTCGTCTCCTCCCTTTCGTCTCCTCCCGCACCCCTCCTCCCTCACCCCTCCTCCCTCACCCCTCCTCGACTCCTCCGTGTGCATTTCAGCTATTGGGACGTCCTTCAAAATGGAGTGTCTTGATCGATTTCCGGGTCAAGTCCCGGAGGAGGGGAAGAGAGGAGTCGAGGAGGGGTATTGGGATGAGGCTTCTGTCTGTTACTTTAGATGAAAATAAGGAGCCCCTCCCCACGCCCCTCTGAGAGACATTTGGTTACAAAGAACTCAATGGTGCTCTAGGAGGAGATTCAGGTGATAAGGGGGCGGGGGGGTTACCTTGGTTGCTGATTGGCTAATGGTTACACAAGACAACACATCGTTATGACATCACAAAGTGGCCAAAATCTGATCAGCTCGTTTTCAGACAGGTTTTTATAGAAATGGATCAAAAAGAGAGAGAATCTTTGTTCCTGAAACTTTCAGAGACTCTTTCCACAGAGGGGACACATGTTGATGTAGAAGAGACATGAAGAAGAGGGGACACATGTTGATGTAGAAGAGACATGAAGAAGAGGGGACACATGTTGATGTAGAAGAGACATGAAGAAGAGGGGACACATGTTGATGTAGAAGAGACATGAAGAAGAGGGGACACATGTTGATGTAGAAGAGACATGAAGAAGAGGGGACACATGTTGATGTAGAAGAGATATGAAGAAGAGGGGACACATGTTGATGTAGAAGAGACATGAAGAAGAGGGGACACATGTTGATGTAGAAGAGATATGAAGAGAGGGGACACATGTTGATGTAGAAGAGACATGAAGAAGAGGGGACACATGTTGATGTAGAAGAGACATGAAGAAGAGGGGACACATGTTGATGTAGAAGAGACATGAAGAAGAGGGGACACATGTTGATGTAGAAGAGACATGGAGAAGAGGGGGACACATGTTGATGTAGAAGAGACATGAAGAAGAGGGGACACATGTTGATGTAGAAGAGACATGAAGAAGAGGGGACACATGTTGATGTAGAAGAGACATGAAGAAGAGGGGACACATGTTGATGAAGAAGAGACAGGAACAAGTGGATTTTGCACAATAGGTTCATGTATGTACATTTCCCCTCTGTAGGACGAATAAAGGTATTCTGATTCGTGCACTGAATGTGTCTTTTAGAAGTCAAGTTTATTTATAGAGCACTTTTCAACACGAGTGCTTTACAAAAATGAAAGACATTAAGAGCATTAAGAACCACATTATAAAATGGCATTTAAAAACACTCATTTAAAAGCAAAGATAATAAAACGACTAACACAGGGTACTTGAATATAAGTCACAGTGCAGTGTGAGATATGAACATATCAATTCAATAGAAGAAGTAACTTACTCTCTTAGACGATATCTTCATGGTTTTCACTGGAGCTCTGGACTGGAAATTGATAAAAGAGTTAATACATTTGTAATCTTCACGGCCTACTGTATATTTTCTACTTCTTAATGCTGCTTTAATTCTATTTTGAGGTGTTTGAATTCAGTTAATTTCTACTTATGTGCAATGCCTTGTTTTTTTCAATGTTTTTTCTGCTGCTGCAACGCAAACATTTCTGAAATTGGGATCAATAAAGTATCGTATCTTATGACAACAAATATCATTATTTAATCCTCTAACAAGGGATAGAAAAACAATGGCTTTAATCTAAGGATATGAGATTAATAATAATATCGAGGACATATTGAGACGTACCCGGAAAACCTCCACTTCCTCCAGCGTCAGCTCCTCCATGCTGGTCGGGTCCTTCGGCAACACGATCACTTTCTGGACGGTGCCTCGATCTGGAAATTACATTAAAAATGTTTATTGACAACATCAAAAAAAAACAAATGTATGACTTATTAAAAAAAGTATATATTCCCACTCTCCCAAGGAGGAATCGTGTTTGTTAAATATGTTTTAAAGGATAAAAACACAATAAAGATCAAGATATTATTCCCATTGTGGTCCTTTAGGTCAGTGTTTCTCAAACGTTTTCATACCAAGGACACTTAACCAATAAAAAGACACTCACGGACCTCCTGACAGTACAGCCTAATAATGACAGCTTAACCTTCTCGCCTCGTTCACACAATAAATCAATACAAATACAACTACAGATTAAATAAGCATTTAGTTCAAATGCGATTTAAAATGCTCTCAGGTTTTACACCTCTTATGAAATGTAGACTACATTTATCAAGGAGTTTATGTCCGAGCCAACAGACTCACAGATCGTTGGCTACTGAGAGAAATGCAAAATACACCGCATGTCGTACGACACAAACCTCCGCTGTGGATTTTCAAAACAAAATACAGTAAACCGATGGTCGCAGGCCTAAGTTTAACCTTGGTATCTGGCTTGATGACTGTCTCACTTTTAAACTTCATGTCAATAACCTGCTTAAAAAGCTGAGGGTTAGGCTAGGTTTCTTCTACAGGAACAAGTCCTGTTTCTCACTTGAGGCCAGGAAAAGGCTAGTCACTGTGACCTTTTTACCTGTGCTGGACTCTGGTGATCTGGTCTATATGAATGCACCTGCCCATTGCCTGAGCAAGTTAGATGCTGCGTATCACAGCGCACTGAGATTTGTGACAAACTGTAAAGCACTTACGCATCACTGTACCCTGTATACCAAGAAGGTTTTGCCATCACTTACTGTACGGAGGCTCAGTCACTGGTACTTTTCATTTACAAAGCCATGTTGGATAAACTACCATCTTATATCTGCTCCCTGATCTCTCTGCGAATTGAAAGTACTTATTGCCTGAGATCGCATGCTGTGGTTTATTAAATGTGCCAAGTGCTAGGACTGTCTTAGGGAAGAAAGCTTTTAGATGTGCAGCTCCACTAACATGGAACAGTCTGCAAAAAGAATGGAAAATTACCAAGCTAGTACCACTACATGTTTTTAAAGCTCGGTTGGATGCTACTCAATCAGATGCTGTTGGTACCTGTACATGTGGTTAAATATGTAAATTGTAATCCCTGTACATTTTGCTGTATGATGTCCTTTTGTTGTTCTGTTGTTTATGTTTTTATGTCTTCTTGTGGAACCTACTGCTGCAGGTCTCCCTTGAAAAAGAGATCATTGATCTCAATGGGATTTCACCTGGATAAATAAAGGTTTTGAATTGAATTGAATTGAACTCTCTGAGGTCTAAGCCATTTTTTCCCATGTTAGGCTCGACTGGGCTTTTTTTGTAAAAATGCTATTAAAACATGAACCTTGGTGACCATCGGGCTGGCCTGCATGCTCTGCCTACAAAACAAACATAAAAGAACGTTTCTGCAGCCCCAACAACAGCCTCTGATCATCAACAGGCTTCATACTCCCGGACCACTAGGGGGCGCTCACGGACCACACTGAAGCACTGCTTTAGGTGTATGTATTTACTTTTGAGTGTTTGATTGAGTGTATTAGCAAGATAAGTAACATTTAATGTAGGTGTGTGTCTGTCTGTCTGTCTGTATGTCTGTGTGTGTGTGAGAGAGAGAGAGAGAGAGAGAGAGAGAGAGAGAGAGAGAGAGAGAGAGAGAGAGAGAGAGAGAGAGAGAGAGAGAGAGAGAGAGAGAGAGAAGAGAGAGAGAGGAGAGAGAAGAGAATAGACATAGAAGTATCCAACCCAA